CTGGGCTGATGTTCTAGGCTTAAAAGTAGGGCCTAAGAGTAAGGGCTGGTTCTGATCAAGCAAGAGCCAGTTTGGATGCAGCCATTCTGACCCTTGTCATGCTTTGGGTACCAGTGGTTGAAATATTGCTGAAAGACTTAAAAAGCAGTAATCTTGGATTGGGAAGCTATTACAGTAGCAGGAAGATTAAGATGAGCAATAGACTATGAAATGATCTAAACGGCACAACCAAAATGTCAGATCTTGAGAACACTACAAAGTCTTTCCACCTAGAAACTTGAAATATGATTGTTCCCTCCTTGGTGTTTTGGGAAAGTTTAGGTCAGGAAAGAATGTGATATGCTAGATTTCCTTAAGTACTAAATGGAAAAATAGATGTGACTATATTATTCCCCAAAACAATGAACATATTCTTTAATATCAGAAATGATGGGGTCAATTTTGACTATTATTAACTATTTTGTTTATTCCCTACCTTATTCTATGAAGGATTAAGGCTAAATATGAAAATTTAGCCTTATGTAATTATGGAAACTTCTTTCTATCTCTACTTGATATTTTCAGATTTGTCTCCAGTCAAGCCATGATGCCATTCCGTTAATCCTTTGTACTACTCTATAAATTACCTGCATGTCAAGGCTCATTACTGCTCTGCTTTGGCTTGCTTCATTTCTCTATTAAGGAAGCAATCACAAGCCTGACCATATTCAAGAGGAAAGGACTTCAGATTCTACTTCTCAATGAGAAAAATAACAAAGAATTTGCAGCCATGTATTAAGGGTACCATAGTTCACCCTCTAGCCAGTTTTTTTTTACTTTTCTTTTCCTCTTTCAAGATCCCCCAGAAGCTTCATCCAATTACCTCATCAGGCTTAGGCTTAAGGTCTAGATCTCATCACCTAAGTCAGGGCCAAGTGTGGACAAGGCTCAGAGGGTTAGCTACTCTCCTAAGGATGATTTCTTTAGCTAGATCATTGAATTCATTATGTACACTTCCAACTTCCCTCATTACCACAGCAACAGTGATGCCAGATTTTTTTTACCACTACAGCAAGGTGCCCTTCCCTCCTGCTTCCAATCACATTTTGCTCATTTTCTTCCAGTCTCACCAACAGCCTCTTCAAAACCACTGGGTTTCTGAACACCACCTGGTCTCAAAACGAATGCCTTTATTGTAGGTTTGTGAAGCCAGCATCCCACTTTCAGGTACCAAATTTTGTTCTGCTTATCTATTGTTGCACCCCCAAACTCACTGGCTTTATATAACAATTTTTAATTTTGCTCAGGATTTTGGGTGTCAGGAATTTAGGGAACGGTTTAATTCTCCCTTGGGATCTCTCTCTCATACAGTCAAGTGTTGACTGGGGCTCCAGAAAACCCAACTGAACTGATTTATCCCTGGGAGCCCAGCTGAGCCTCTTGGCCAGGACTCCTCCATGTAGCTGCTATACATAGCTTGGGCTTCTTACAGCATGGTGACAGAGCTCTGGTCTTGTTTGCACTAACTTTCTTGTTAACTTCTTAACCTTCTCAGCTAATAGAGATAATTACTCTGGGAAAGGTTAAAAAAACAAAACCAAAACAAACTTTGGATCCTAACTTTAAGCACTTTCTAAGTAAATACAATAATGAACTAAATCACCCAAAGAGTAATCCATTTAAAAAGAAAACAAAATAAGAATTATTTATTTATTTACTTATTTATTTTTGAGACAAAGTCTGGCTCTGTCACCCAGGCTGGAATGCAGTGGTGTAATCTCGGCTCACTGTAACACCCACCTTCCAGGCTCAAGCCATCTTCCCACCTCAGCCTCCCAAGTAGCTGAGACTGCAGTAGCACATCATGACACCTGGCTAATTTTTGTATTTTTTGTAGAAACAAGGTTTCACCATGTTGCCCAGGCTGGTCCCAAATTCATGAGCTCAAGCAATCGGCCAGCCTCAGCCTCCTGAAGGGCTGGGATTACAGGTGTGAGCCACTGCCACCATGCCTGGCCATAAAAATGTATTGAATGTTAAAACTGTGCTATACTTAATGATAGCAAAAGTATAGCAAAGAATAATTTGCATAATAAATATTCCCATTTTTTTTCTAGTTAGTACAATAATTGAATAGTAACCATGACCAAAGTAGGACAAAAGAAGGCTATTATCATAAAGGTTAGTTTGATATTTCAAGATTTGATTACCTCTATCCAGAATCCACATGCATTTGAACAGAGGTTCTGCTGTTCATCAATCAAATGTTAAGTGTCTCTGTTGCATTCAAGTGCTACCCTAGCTGGCCATATTCTACATAAAGGGCATTTCTCTCATCAGATTTTGTAAAAAAAAAAAAAAAAAAATCTTCCATGGAAACACTTCTTTATGAAAGTTAGGGCTGGGCGCCAGTGGCTCACGCCTGTAATCCTAGCACTTTGGGAGGCCGAGGTGAGTGGATCACCTGTGGTCAGGAGTTCAAGACCAGCCTGGTCATCATGGTGAAACTCCATCTTTAAAAAAAAAAAAAAAGAAAGAAAGAAAGATAAGTCTACAAAGGCACTGATCTAATAAAGTTGGCAAAAGGCACCAAAATACCTGTAACACATCAGTGAAACTGACTTATCATCATATTTGCTCAAATGAAGGTATATATTCTTTCATGTTAAAAAAATCCTTAAAACTTCTAGTAACTTCTGCCATAGTTTCCCCTCATGCTTTTTTTAGTCCAATATTAGATATATTCAAAGAATTAAGTTTATCTTGGAATGAAGCCAGTAAGGCTATTTATAGTACAGGGATGGAAAAAGGTATGCAGTGAATTTGGTGAGTCACTCATTTTAATCAGTGGCATTGGGGTTAATCTGGAGACATCATCAAATTAATCTATTCAGTATAGTTTATTAATATTTATCTGCCAATTTCCTTATGTGAATTAAGACATTTACAAACTGAATTTGGAGTTCCAGAACAAAAAGGTAAATTTCTTATCTTGCTGCAGAGAAAATAATGGCATGCACTCCTCTGTTTTGTCTACAGGAGACTGGCAATGGCTTTTCCTGCTCTGTATAAAGACACAAAACATTTTTCTGTGGACTGCATCACACTGGCTTTGAGATACAGAGGAGAAACTAATTTAATGAAGGAATAAGGCCTCCTAGTGAAAAGATTCTGGTCACAGGATGAGATCTTTGTGAAGTTCCTGCAGGTAGTCAAACTTTAATAACTCAAATTATGGGTCGCCATGGAAATAATATATAAATTATATTGAAAAGAAATGTATTAAAATTCAGAATAACTAGGTTATACAATGATAGCAAACAAATTACTACCCAAAACTACTATGCAGCATTATTGATACAGTTAAATATTATTTCATTTACTCCTCACAACATCCCTGAAAGGCAGGTGATGTTTTCACACCTTCCAGGTAAGAAAACAGGTTGAGTAAGTAATCCAAGTCCACCAAAAAAATAATAATAATAATAATGAAACTCTGGATCTGCCTGATTCCAAATCTTTTGCTTATATAACAAATTTCAATTATATAATGAAGAGTAAAAACAAACAAAAAATTATATTGACAAGAAATATGTGACCCAAAGTGAAAGAAACTAAAATTCTATATTTTGTACAAGAAAATTTATTTTATTATATTAGAGATTACATATTGTACTATAACTTCATTAATGTTTAGAAGTTAAAATACTTTAATAACAAAATAATGTTCTGAAGGTCTTAGAAGAGTACACTTAGTTTTGTGGTTTACGCTCCTTCATTCTTCTCTCCCTGCCTATTTTCCCATCTTAATTTTTTGAATTCTCCAATTTTGTGTAGTTTTGGTACAGCAATATTGAGATTATCTTTTGGAAATGACTTTTAATTGGTGTTCTCAAAGTATTTCTCTTATGGGAAGATAATACTGAAGATCAGGGAAAACTGTTTTTCATTGTTTCCCAGTTAGGAAACAACTTTCTTTCTGCTAATACGTTCTATCCACATTGACTACATGCCATTAGTTATTGGTACTAGCTAATACCTGACGTTCACAATCTTCACTCTAATAATAACATATTAAAGTTTCCTAAGTCAGAATTTAAAGGACAGAACCTATGTCTCTGGGGGGAAAAATGTTTAATCCATTCGTATACAATTGTGTAACCTTTTTACAAAACATATTCACACTAGTTCCTCTGGTAGTTTTTTAAAAAAAATCCAACTAGGTCAAGAGTGGTGGCTCACACCTGTAATCACAGCACTTTGGGAGGCTGCGGTATGTTTATCATGAGGACAGGAGATCAAGACCATCCTGGCCAACATGGTAAAACCTCATCTCTACTAAAAAAATACAAAAATTAGCTGGGTGTGGTAGTGCATGCTTGTAATCCCAGCTACTCAGGAGGCTGAGGTAGGAGAATCACTTAAACCAGGGAGTTGGAGGTTGCAGTGAGCTGAGGTCATGCCACTGCACTTACTTCTCTTGTTTTCACTTTCATAGAAAAATCTTTAACCTAACAATAAATAACAGTATATATCTTTGCTGGATATCTCTTGGGCAGAGACTAGAACTTTTTTTGTATGTCAATGAGTTATCTGGTGAAATTCTTAATAATGGTTCCTTCTTTTCAAATTTGCTTATAAAAAGAAAAGTTTATATATTAAGATTATCTAAAATGATCTAGGCCCTAGTTCTTATTAGTAAACAGCAACATGAACATAATTAGTTGCTTAATAGAATTTTAAAAGTAAAAATGATTAAAAATAAACCATAAAATTTTCTTTCTTTTTTATGATTATATTGATTTCAGTAATTTAGGCTTGCCTTTGACTAGAGTATTTTGTGTTCATTTCTTACTGTCTGCTACCTGATAAATCCTGGTGAGGTACATTTCCTCCAGGAAAGACAGCAATCAATAATAGGAAGGCTTTTGGAAGAAAACAGTTAATTTTTGATACGTGGCACTGGCTTAGTTATTCCATTAGCAAGTGTTAAATATTTCTCTATACCTGTATTTACTCACCCACAAGTCCTAAAACAATGTAGCCAATAATACACAGTAGGAAGATCATACAGCACAGAACATCTGTACAACTCCTAAAGACAAAAAAAAAAGAAATAAATAATTAAAAGAGGTCCAAAATGACTTCCTGTTTACTGCACAAAATGAAGAGAGAAAAAGATAATAATAGTGATATGCTATTTCATAATTGCATATTTATTCAATAATCTTGAAAGGTAGATCTGATGTACTTCTACAAAGACATTAGCAGTCATGGAGGGGTCCTAGTTCCATGATTAATGAATATCATTAATCAGAACTCTCAGTATTTGTTCTCTCTTGAGTTCTTTATTTGCAAAATATTTTTGGGCAATAAAGCAATACCTCCATCCTCTCTCCCTCTTCCTCTTTCTCTTTCTTCCTCTTCTTTATTCAAAAAAAAAAAAAAATTGAGAACAGACCCTGCCTCAAAAAAAAAAAAAAAGGAAGACAATAACAGTATTGAAAGCAGGAGCTCAAAGAGATATTTGTACACTCATGTTCATAGTAGTATTATATAAAAAAAAATTTTTAAAGATTGGAGTATGCCAACATCAGATAGCCACTTTTTTTTACATGAAATTGTAAAATAAGCGATTTGATTTTATGATATTCCTCTTCATGTCTCCCTGACACATAGTATAAAATAGCCATTTCCCATCCCTCCTCTTCTCCATTTTCCTCCTACATACACAGTATACAGTTACTATTGTTAAAGGATTGACTACATTAACTTTCTATGGGGAGCTGAGTTATAACTATTCCAGTAACAATGTATATAAATCATTAAAAATAAAATACCTCGAAAGTATACTTTTCTAGCTGTTTCTATAAGCTACATATTGTCAATATAGGATTAGAGAAAATCTGACTCACAGAGAATCAGTGATTTGCTAAAGGTCACAAGCCAAGCCAGGATCCAGCAGGGATACTCAAGGTTTTCAACTAAAGTATTTTCTTTCTTTCTTTTTTTTTTTTTTTTTTTGAGACTAAGTTTCACTCTTGTTATCCAGGCTGGAGTGCAATGGTGCGATCTCAGCTCACTGCAACCTCCATCTCCTGGGTTCAAGCAATTCTCCTGCCTCAGTCTCCCGAGTAGCTGGGACTACAGGCGTGCATGCACCATGCCCAGCTAATTTTTGTATTTTTAGTAGAGACGGGGTTTCACCATGTTGACCAGGATGGTCTCGATCTCTTGACCTCGTGATCCACTCGCCTCAGCCTCTCAAAGTGCTGGGATTACAGGCTTGAGCCACCGCACCCGGCAAGTATTTTCTATTCTCAATATTACATCTTGTTCAGCTTATAAGTGGTTTGGAAGATCAAAGCTATGGCTTGAAAGTGAGCAGCAATACTGTCATTCTTTATGTAAAACTTAATGAGGACATTGTTAGTAAAGAAAAAAATCAGCTAATTTGACAGAATTAAAAGTTGCACAACAGAATTTTCATGGTGAAAGCTCTTGATCTTGAGGGCATACAGATATGCCCTAATCTTTTAGCACAGGCAGGTTGAAGTTACACACTTATTTTTGGACGTGGTAAGTAATGAATAATAATTGTAGAGTAACAAACACAGTAATACCTTACATTGATAAAGCCTATTATACTTGTATTCCTTTCAGAAACATAACCTTGAGAGATTCCTAAGAATTTCTTTAGGCTTCTAGAGGTAGTAAAGTGAGTTTGCTTACCTTAGTTAAGTACATGAAAGAGATTGTTAGAGAGGGCAAATATCTAGATCTCCAACACCAAACCTGTTTCATTTGTGAGTTATGTTAATATGATTACAATTTTCTGCAAATTTTAAAATAGCTACATCTAAAATTAATTATACACATTCCTATAATTCTTTACCTTGGAGTAGGAAATTGATCTTTCACAGAGAAAGTTAATTGTGCACAAACCAGAAACAAACTATCATTTGTTTAAATCTGGTTTCAACCCAGGAATTTTTAATTTCATTTGAATTTAAGAATTATGAGAATAACAATAACAAGAGAAGAAAGCAGGCACTCTAGTTTTTCTTGGTTAACGACCATTGAAAGCAAAACCCTGCTTGAATGTGTGGAGGGTGTCTGTTTCACCTGCATTCTTACACATCCTACTTAATATCAGATTCTTAACCTGTCAGAGCAGTTGTTACATAACCTAACACCTAATGGAAAATGCGTGCAGGTAAGAAACTCAAAGAGAAAAAACTAGAACACAGATGTGCTTTAATTAGAGATCTTGCATTTGTCAAAGCCCTGGTGTATAATCCTAACCATCAGGAAGCTGGAGAGGGATGTAATCAGAAGCACCACCCAGGGTGACCTGCCATCCCATCCTTATAAATCTATAATGTCATATGTTTGTATCATTTCTAATAATATATACTATAGCGCATACAGTAGTCTTCCCTTATTCGAAAGGGAGACATTCTAAGACCCCCAGTGGATGCCTGAAACTGCAGATGGTCCCAAACCCAATATTCTGTTTTTTTCCTATACGTACAGACCTACGATAAAATTTACTTTATAAATTAAGTAAAATGAAGAAATTAACAACAATAATAAAATAGAACAATTATAACAATATGCCACATCACTACTCCTGTGCATTGGAGCCATCATAAAGTAAAATCAGGGTTACTTGAACACAAGCATTGCGATGCTGAGACCGATGATCTGATAAGCAAGATGGCTAACAAATGGTGAAGGAGCAGGCTGGACAGCGTGGATACACTGGACAAAGAGATGATTCACATCCTGGGGGGGACAGAGTTTGGCAGTGTGAGATTTTATCACGCTATTCAGAACAGTGGGCAATTTAAGACATCAATTATTTATTTCTATAATTTTCTCTTTCATATTTTCTGTGCATCACAAATGGCCATAGATGACCTTGGATAATTGAAACCTCAAAAAGTAAAACTGCAAATAAAGGAGAACTATTGTGTTTATAACGACTTCACGTTACATACTATTATAAGGTTATGTGTTTATCAGGCTACATAGTCAATACAAGTAGAGGTAAACATCTAGAAAGATCAGTGAAAGAAACTTACCAATTTCAAAGGACAAAGTACAAAGAAAGAAGCAGAGCCCAAATGGAGGTTTTACGTTGTTGTTTTGTTTTGTTTTTGAGACGAAATCTCGTTCTGTCACCCAGGCTGGAGTGCAGTGGCATGATCTGGGCTCTCTGCCTCTTGGGTTCAACCGATTCTCCTGCCTCAGCCTCCTGAGTAGTTGGGACTAGAAGCACAAGCCACCATGCCCGGCTAATCTTTGTATTTTTAGTATAGACGGGGTCTCACCATATTGGCCAGACTGATCTCAAACTCCTGACCTTGTGATCCACCCACTCTGGCCTCCCAAAGTATTGGGATTGCAGGCATTAGCCACCACACCTGGCGGAAGTTTTTAAATAAGTAAAACCCATACTCCTTGACTACTTGCACCAATGAATAAGCATCAGTTGGTGTTTTGTTTCTATATAGGGTTTTACACTATAATTTATTTCTTATTCTTTGGTATCAAGGAAGCACTAAAGCATCAGGAACTACCCTGTGCTCACACAACTATTCCCCCAGCAGTCTCTCACCACAATGGGACAGCATTTCTCAATAACTCACACCTTAAGATGTTTGGAGATTCTATCCTGGGGCTAGGGAAAATAATATATTAAAGTCTGCTTTGTTTTTCTGGTACACTGCTTTAGAGAAATAGCAGACCATAACCTATGGCCAGATTGGTTAATTTTGTCTTACTTAAACACAGAAGGTTGTTGAACAAACTAATAATTATAAACAAAGAATTCAGATCTCCCCAGTAGTAGACATTAGTATTTCTAAATTTGTTTCTGTTGTAATTTGATTCTCTTTATTGCTTTAGAAATTTTTTAAATATAGGTGTGTGTGTGTGTGTGTGTGTGTGTGTGTGTGTGTGTGTATTTTCAGGTAATGATAATTATCTGCTATTTTTTTCCATTAATTTATCTGATTCGCTCCCATTCCACAGAGATATTCTCTCTAAAAAAATAATGCTTAGAAACTTACTGGAAAATTGAATGTGAACAAATTAAAATATAGTTTGGGCACCATTTTGTGAGTCAAGGAATATGGCAGAAACTCAATTCAAATTTTTAGAAGTTGTAGTGCCTTATCATTGTTTCTTTCTTTTGATTTCAGAGCATCTGTCACAATCCTAAATATTCTATAGGGAATGAGTTCTATTTTTTAAGAAAAAAATAAGATTTTAATTGGGATAGTTTTCAAAACTCTCTAGACAGCTATTGAGAGAACTGGGTGATCTAAGCTCATGGCTGAAAATTATTCTGAATCATATTCTAGCTAGAGGCTTGTCATAACTGGACCTTTTCCTCAGGTGGATTCATTTTTACTTTCATAGCAAGCACTATGAACCATTGTGCTAAGCTAAAAATGGGTTACATCCCACTGGGTCCCAGAAAGAATAGTCATAGAGACATTTGCCCAACTCTCTCCCTCACCCTCCCTCCAAATCAAAGTCCCACTTTTTCAAAACAAGCTGCTCACACCCACATTTATTAGACAGCCACTCAAAACTTTATTCAGTTTGTGTTTTCCTGGCATAAAAGCGTTTTCAAAAGTTAAACTACAGAACTACTATTGCACCTAATATCTATTTTCCAAACGAAAAGAATAATAGGATTCCAATTACATGTGCTTGTGCAGATTTCCCTTTTCCTTTTACCTCTAATCCACAAATATTGCATGCCTATAGTCACCTAGACTTAAAGTGTTGGGAGTTTCCTTTGACGTTCCCTTTTTCCTAGCTTACCTTTTATATTCAATTGACAAGTTCTCTTGACTCCTTTTCTCTGATGTATCTTTCATCCACCCCTTTCTTTCTATTCGCGTTGTCTGGACTCAGTCCAGGTTTTTTAATGCTCTCTTCAGACTATTGCCGTGGTCTCTTAATTGGGCTTCTGCAGGTAGTTTCTGCCTGATCCAATTCAGTCTGCACATCACTGATATTACCAATATGTGATGATGTCAGTTTACTGTTTAAAAAATTGCAGGACGTCTCCACTAA